CAATTCAACATTCAAAAAACAAAAGCTGGTACTATTGTTAAGTGGCTCTTGTCTTTAGTCCATGTCTAATCTATTTCCATCCCTTACTAAAGCAAGCAGTAAGGATTGCTGAAGTAAGTACAAAAGCTAAGACATGGATTAGAGACATGAGCCACTTAACAGTAATAACAGTTTTTATTTTTTGATTTGTGTCATTATTGCACAGGACCATCGATATGAAGAAAATAAAACTTTTTAATCTGTCCACGCAGATTAGATAAGGAAAACAGATTTACACGCGTATACCTACTAACAATTCAAAAGAACGGAATGATTTTTCAACCGCTTAACAATACCTTAAATAAGTAAAGCAAGAAAAAAAACTAAAAAATATTGCATTACGCATTGAAATATTACATTCAGCTCAAGGCTGTTTTACACAAGAATACTTTAAAGTTTTCATATATTTTCTGCGGTTTTACTTGCTCACTCATATGAACCCACCTATGTTGTATCTACACATATCGCAAGTTACAAGTGTTTATCTGCCACTCCAGTAGCAAACGCGCCCATTTTCGAATGCCAAGTTGATGCGCGGATATGGCAAGACTTTGCCAATCTTCAACTGCTCAATATTCGGTTCATCCTCGAAATACATACACTGTTTTACAAAATTCATGAAAGCCTCATTCATTTTCGTAGCTTTAGCGGGCAGAACCTGTAGATTCTCATCTCTATGTAGCTTGCGTACAATTTGCTCACATATACGCGTATTACAATCGACATCGAAGAGTGGCACACCGAAATTCACATCCAATAGTGTCCACTCCTCGGTGTTGGTCTCTTCACTCGAAGTATCTGGGCTATCCAAAATAGTTTTGGAATCGCCGTTATTTGCTGCGAAACTAATTGGTATTTCCACTGAACTCTGGGATACCAACTCATTTTTGCTTGCATTTTGTGCTGCTGAATCAGCATCGCATTTCGCCAATTCAGATGCTAGCAATTCGTTACAGTCATCCGAAGTAAATATATTTGAGGGTGAACCATTTTGTGGACTAACCGCAAAGTAATTCTCATCGGGACTCTTCAACTGACTTGCATTAATCGGCGAAGCACTCAGACGTGCAAAGCTGGTAACTTCAGAGCCATCCGCGGGCGATAATAAATCTTGCGGTTGTGTCAGTGTGGACAATTTTATAGGCGCAGTTGCGTTGGCAATCACATTTGGCACAATTTCCTTGCTACGATTGGATTCTACTGTTACAGTTTTTGTTTCAACTGGTGACTTTGCTTTACTTTTAGGGTGTCTTATATGCACTTGCAGTTCAAAAGATTCGCACCCTATGTCGGGCACACCGGTGTTCAGGAATGTTATAAAACCACAATTGTGCTCTAGATCTAAAAGTTTTGCCAATTGTTGCACGGCATTGTGATTGGCCCACTGCTGCTGACGCGAATCATTTCCATTGAATGGGAATGACTCATAGCGTAAAAGTCCAGGTTGGCGGATGCCATAGCCTTGCACCAGAATGCAACCATTCTTCAACTGATCGTTGAGATTGCGGAAATTTTCGGAGTTCAAAACATACGAATCGGAATGTAGTATATTCACAAGCAACTTTCCGTAGCCAAGAAAGATGCGTGGAAGTGTTTTAAGTACTGTGCCGCGACAAAGGAAGAGACTAGGTGGTCCATAACCTACAAGTAATGAATTTTAATGAGAAAGATAAGTCAATATGAAAAAATTTACTTGCCTGTTATATGATTGTAGAAAAGTTTCGACCACATATGCGAGCTTTCGGAGCTTCGATAGAATTGTCCGAAAAAAGGAATGCTAAAGATATGCGAAAGTGTGGCAGTGAGAGGCGTTGCAGATATAATAAACTTGTATTTCTTTTCAAGCACGCGATCGCGTGTCTTTTGATCCAAGCATTCTAGGCACTCAAGTCGCAGTAGATCCAAGCCACCTGGCAGCAAATGGCGCAGCGAACAGATAGTCGACCGTAAAATGACAGCATGCGCAAAGTAACGCGAAACGTCTCCTTCACCCTCGGCATCTAGCAGCGAGACTTTTTCCAGCTCTGTTAGAAATGAGTCCATACTTTCCTCAGACAGTTTTCCCACCTCAAACATAGTTACAGCATGATTTTTAAGACCAGGTGATAGATTACCCATCATCAGAAAAGCGGTTAGAGTTGAATCAAAGAGAAATCCAACTCGTTTTCCGGTTTTTTCTACCAAAGCAGGGAATTTGCCTTCTTTTGGCGTTGCGGGTACTTCTTTGATACTTAATTTTGTAGTACTCTCGCTTAAATCGTCCAATTCAGAACTGAGCTCTTGCTCCTCGGAGTAACTATGTTCGCCTCCAACACTCTGCATTGCTTGCGGTGATGGTGATGGCATATTGGCAAAACTGAAATCACTGGTGTTGCCATCGGATGAAAGGTAGCCAATGGAGCTGCTATCCTTGTCCTGTTGCTTTTCCTGCTGTTGTGCTAAAGTCGGACTATACTGTGCTGCCTCAGCGCGTTCAGCGGTTGCTTCTGATGTAATGAAGTTATTATAATTGAGTGGTGTGATTTGTGGTGGCTCACGTGCCATTGATTGTTCCAACTGATATTGCTCCCAACTGGCGTGGTACTTCAACTCAGCACTTGGGCTATCGCAGACGGGATCTTTGCGCCGCGCAAAACCCAATCGACAAAAAAGTGATACTGCCTGCTTTACAGAATCTAGATCGACTTGCAACATTTGAGCCAATTCCGAAATTGTCATGTGCTCATCGGCACTGACAAAAATTTTATAAAGCAGATTTTCAAAGTAGTCACCACTGGTACGATTCATGACAAAGTTGCGCAGTGGCGGTATGCTGATGCGATCTTCGCCTGATATGGGTATATCCAAGTAGATTAGACCTTTGCGATAAAGACTATGTACGACACTATAATCACATTTGCCCGCAGTTTGGGAGCCGAAATCAATGAGATCATCGATTAGACTACGCTCTGCTGTTGTAACAAATCTTATGTCAGCTTCCAATACATAGCCTACCTCAATGCGCCACCACGGTTCAACGCGTATACGCACCGGAAAACGAGGCAAGAAATCCAAGGGATTGGGTTTGGCACTAAAGAGTAGCGCACGCGTTGTATGCGTTTTTAAATCGCTTATCAGCGATAGATATTCATTACGCCCGATGCCCAAGACACGCAGACAGTCGGCGGCCGTGAAATTTGGTAGTGTATCATATGACTTATCATTGCGTAGCAGTTGACTCAATAAATCAAGATAATAGTTAAATGGCGTTACCCGCAATCCTTTTGTAATAATATCAGCTAGATGATAGGGGAATAGAAGCAGACCGTTGATGCTTTTCTGGACAAGTAGCTCATAGTAGCGCTGCTCATGGCGGAACACCTTGGAGGTCAGATTACCTCGGAAACGGAACTGGTTCTTTAGACTGTAGTTGAAAACATATTTTTCGTAGTCCCGTTGATTATTGTGCAGCACCTGCTTCAGGTGTATCGGTACGGCCGCCCACGGGATGTTTTGACGCACGCAATTACCAATATCTTCAGCGACCTTCTCCGAAGTCATTTTTTCAGTTCACTATCGCCTTTTGATCTATTTTTTCACGTTACACACGTAGGCAGAGCCGTGTTTTACATTTTATTAACTAAAGTGCGCTTAGAATTTTTGGACACATAAAATGAAAATAATTTTTCTCCGTTATTTATCTTTAGAAATATGGCTACAGAAATCGAGCAGACACACGTTGACATTTGTTTTTTTTTTACTTTTAAATGTCAAAATCAGCTGTACTTTGCATGATTGCATTTTCTGGGACCAAGAGACAAATTTGAAATTCACCACTTTCAGTTTATAACAAGTTGACATCTAGCGCATTCACCAGCATCAAGCGGTACACAACTGTAAAAAATTCTCATGCCCGTACAATTTGTGTGAAGTATCTTACAATAACGCGGCGCTGAGCAAATGGAATTTGCATTTTTGACAGGGCCTTACGTGTTGAAGTTGGATGCAGAATACGGAAAGAAAGAGAGGGGACAACAAAATGTGAAAGAGGAAACGCGAAAGCTGAGATGCTGAATATTTTCACTGCATTACCAACGCACCTAGAATCGCGGTGACAAGAAGTGGTAACATTTTTTGGTAATACAATTTTCCGGTCACAAAATTTTCGGTAACGTGCAGAATAGAGCTATAAGAGTACAACTCCACAACAAGCTTTGCAGGCGTATGACGTTTTCAGGCTTTCAGCTGCACAATTCAGCTATTGCTGAAAGCCTGAAAAGCACTGAACGCCTGAAAAGCTTGTTGTGGAGTTGTACTCTAACCGGCCCGCGGCTACCTTAACAACCTTATTATGCCTTATGATTAAATTTCCGCCGAACTGGTTCGGAAGAAATTAGTTGTGTTTTTTTACAAATTATCCAGTAACTTGCCAGTAACTCTCCAGTAACTTTATTTCTAAGAATTCGCTCTCATAGAAAAAATTTGCAAAAAAGTACGCGAACGCTTTTCCAGTAATAATTTGCAAGTTTCATGAACAGCTGATAAATTGGTTGTTTATTCGCAGCACATTCCTTATAAAACAATATATTTTGTATTTAAATAGGTTTATTTTGTGAAATTCAAAAATAAAAAGCCACAAACAGTTTCCTTATTAGTTTAAATTTCATCCAGCAACATGCGATCAGCTGTTTTTCGTACTGGCAAATTCTTACAAGTAAAAATTTATCCAGTAAAATCCAGTAAAAACTTGCAACTTCAGCTGTCATTTTTCGCTCTCTCAATTTCCCCTACTTTGCAAGTTTTTGCGTACGAAAACGCCAAAACATGAAAATTCGTAAAAACTTTTACTGGATTTTACTGGAAATGAGTAAAAAAACGCAACTATTGTTTTGGGCGAATTTCAAAATAAAGCTTTATTTCACCACCCCAAAAAATGTACTTGTCATTTTACATACATGGTAACCCTGTCAGAATGATTTTAGAATTTTTTTGGCAGTTTGTGGTAGCAACAAGAAGGCGATTTCTTCAGCTATTTTTCTTCCACAACTGTTAAATTAGCAAAAAAGTAGGTTTATTGCTGTGAAAAAATTGCTTGGAGCTTTGAATTTATTCAGTAACAAGTTAAATATATACTATGCAGTGTGCGGAAGTGTGCAAGTCCGAAAGTTACTCAAAAAAAGTTTGATAAAACCCACGAAGACGACAGGAGCAATCGATTTTTTTTTGCATTGACAGTTCCTCAAATAAGGAGCGCGGAACAAGTGAAGACGATAGTGTATTCAACCAAATTTTTTTTTTTTTAGGTGAACACGCCTTCGGCAGGGAAGCTGAACCAGAAAAGTAAACGTTAAAAATACTAAGTGGCCTAAGTTATAACACAGGTGTATAAAATTAAGACGTTAAAACGGCAGCCAATTGGTGTAAAAACGAAGCACTGGAATTATAACGCCACTTCATGAACGCGGAGGAAGATAAGCAAAAAGCCATTGGCGAAGAGACCTCGAGGTACTATTGCATATTATATATGCATTAATTGCTAATACGCCTAACATTTTTGGGTTTGTCTAGAATTAATGAAGATTCGCCATCTGCTAGTAATAACGCATCTACACATTCAGCCAGCAATAATCAGCAAACGTACGAGCAGCAGCAACAACCATTGCAGTCGCTGCAATCGACACGCACCACCAACCCAGATATGAAACGATCCGCCGTTAAGGAACTAATAGAGCGTTATTTTTATCAACTACAGCGTGGTTGTGGTAATCCGAAATGCTCGAACGAGAATTGTGCATCCAGTGGCCAGGTTGCGCCAATGAACCCCAACGAAATAGCCGCCCGCGCTATTCAACTCTTCTCACAGGATGCAAAACTATGCGACTATAGTCAACCACCGAAGGTGCCGCGCACCCAGAATGACTCACCGTCGAGGTAAATGGAAAAAGTCAAATGTGTCACTTTGCGTTTTTTTTATTATTATTATAGCTTTTCACATTTTTCTTTGTATCCTTTGTTTTAGTTCACATTCAGCGAGTTCAGCGGCCACGACACCAAGCATACAAGACTCCGACATGCCCTCGCCTAATGATAGTAGCACGAGCAGCACAAGTAGCTCTACTAGCACTAGCAGCAGCAGCGGTAATAGCACCATAACTTCTGGCAGTGCCAGTGGTAGTGTGCACAGTCATGCCAGTCAGCACAGCAATATAAGCAGTTCTGTCGGTGCCGGCCTAACTAGCGCAGGCGGTGGGGGTGGTACGGGTGGCGGCGGCGGTGGAGATGCCGATGTAGCTGCCACTTCCTCATCTTCATTAATATCACATAGTCGCCCTAATTCAAACAGAAGCTTGGAAAACACTAGGGACCGTTCAGCAGCAGCTGCTGACATGTGCCAACTGGAAATTCTGTGCAACGCAGCAGAAGCAGCGGAAATGGCAGTGGATAACAGTAATTTGCAGACAGCTCAAACGGGCATACCTGTAGAAGGGGGACCAGCAGCCCGTACTGCCTCTGGGCCACCAACGCCCACTTTCGCACCAGTCCCTTACCTCAATGAGGCCTTGCTCGATGAATTGTTGGATGAATGCGTTAAGTTTAATACATACGATCGACTATTACATGCCATAAACGAAGTTTACCCGCATGTCGAACGGTTGAGTAAAAGCTTTCGTAGGCCAGTTTTCGCAGGTGTACACTCAACTCAATTGACTTCGAGTGCTACAGCTTCAAAGCTGCAAGAATTGCTTGGTAAGTCACCAAGCGATCTAAAAAAAGAAGATCTGCGTACTCTAGAAGGGGAAACTGACAAAGATGAAGACAGTACTTGCGTATCGGCCGAGGACAATACGCCAAACAGAGACCAACAGCCGACGCACGTTTGTATCGACTGCGATGAAGAACCAATGGAAGAGGATGCAGCTTCTGATGAAATTTCATCCGCAGCAGCTGCGGCTCGTAGTTGCGGGGACACTGAATCTGTCATACAATTAAACAGCAATGAGACGTGGTTGGACTTGGAAAGTTTGCGGCGCGTTAAAAAGAAGTTATTTGCTTTGAATAATACGAGCATACGTGATGCGTTGAATATCAACATAATCTTGCTGGCCGAGAGCATACGCTATGGGCGTGAGACTGCCTGTGAAAAGGTGATACACTGTCTGGTCATTTGTTTCGACATGGTTACAAATAGTAAGTGACAATTATTTTTCTTCTAATTCTAGTTTCTAGTAGCATGACTATGTTCCGTCCATTATTTTCGTTATTCAATAATATAATGTTTGCGTCTTGCAGCATTCAACAGTTTTGAGGACTTGGAGTATTTGGAGCGTTCGCTGCCCAAGCTTTGTCATGCTTGTCGCATGCTATCAGTAGCGGGACAAGCGCGTTTAGCCCTCATCTGGGCCGCGCATTGTAAAGATCAAATGCAATCGCTGGTACAGTCTTGCCAACAGTTGATCACATTACAAGTAATACAAGACGAGGACACAGTACAGGAGAATTCTGATGTATTTGCGGTGACACGCGTTCTCAAGGTTTGCTTTAAAGTTAGAACAATTATCAAAGTTATAATATACCTCATCCCTCGTTGCAGATTGTTTTCTACGCAAACATCTTAGCTGGAGAATTGGACACCAGCTCCATCAATGCTCACAGGCAATCGGGTAATGCAGCCGATGCTGATGCCTCTTCAAACACGGATACCACCAACGATGATGATGACATATTTTTCTATACTCAAGTACCTAAACCGCATTATCCGAAATTCGCGGAAGACAAACTAGAGAAAGAGTTGGGTTTATCGAGCATGGACTGTCGTGTGCCGTTGGTGCCATTTGAAGAGTTCTACAATGAGCCGCTGAGCGATGCAATACAAATGGATCGCGATTACTTATCTTATAGAAATTTGTCGCTGAATCCCAGTGGTGAGTGTGTATATACTTTAAGCTTTTATTTAAATATATAAATTCTTTCGTTTAGATTTGCATTTCTCCTTCATGCTGTATTCATTCATATTAACACCCGCGACCAAGGTCATTGCACTTTACTACGATAGTCGCATACGCATGTACAGTGAACGAAATTCCTCGTTGTATTCACTACTGAATTCATTTTCCGATGGAAATGAGGTTGGTGCAAGGCCTGATTTAAAGCTGAAAGTGCGACGTGAAAATATAATCGATGATGCGCTCATTGGGGTATTATAAATATTTTGGACATATTTTAAATATAAAAATAATAATGATTGTTTTTAGCTTGAACTGGTTGCTATGAGTAATCCAAAAGACTTAAAAAAGCAGTTAGTGGTTGAGTTCGTTGGCGAACAAGGTATTGACGAAGGTGGTGTATCCAAAGAATTTTTCCAGCTGATTGTCGAAGAGATTTTCAATCCGGACTATGGCATGTTTGTGCATCAGGAAGATACCAATACTGTGTGGTGAGTCTATAATAATCAAAAGATGTGTGTAATTGAATATTTTGTCAAATTTGGATACTATAGTTGATTATTTTTCGTTTTTACCTACTGAAAGAAATTACCGGTTTGACTTAAATTTCCAGGTTCAACTCCGCGCCATTCGAAAATGAGGCACAGTTCACGCTGATCGGCATTATTTTAGGTTTAGCTATTTACAATAACATCATTCTGGCTGTGAATTTCCCTATGGTCGTCTATCGCAAATTAATGGGTGGTGTTGGTACATTTTATGATCTAAAATATTGGAATCCGACATTGTATCGAAGTTTGAAATCGATGCTCGACTATCAGGACGCCGATATGGAAGAAGTTTTCATGCAAACATTTAAAATTAGCTACAATGATGTTTTCGGCGACGTAGTCGAACATGAATTGAAACCCGGTGGCGGTGATATAGTTGTTGGCCAACATAATAAACAAGAATTCGTTGATATGTATAGCGAATATTTGCTCAATAAAAGCATTGAACGACAATTTAAGGCTTTCAAAAAAGGTTTCGAAATGGTAACAGATGAGTCGCCACTAAAATTACTCTTTCGTCCTGAGGAAATTGAGCTGCTGGTCTGCGGTAGTAGAGTAAGTTGATCTTTAAGTATGTAATATTAAAAAGTATGTAATGATTTCTCAAAACTCTTTAGAAATTTGACTTTGTTGAACTGGAAAAATCCACCGAATATGAGGGTGGTTACACTAAGGACTCGCAAGTAATCAAAGACTTTTGGAGCGTTGTACACTCCATGCCAGAGGAGTCAAAACGTAAATTGCTCGAATTCACCACTGGTTCGGATCGCGTGCCTGTTGGCGGATTAAGTCGCCTCAAGCTGCTTATCACACGGCACGGTCCCGACAGCGATCGTTTGCCCACCTCGCACACGTGCTTTAATGTGTTATTGCTGCCAGAGTACAGCAGTCGAGACAAGTTGGAGGAACGTCTGCTAAAAGCGATTAATTACTCAAAAGGATTTGGCATGTTGTAAGAAGCTGTTTTGTCATTCAAATTTCCATATCTATGAGCATTGAAAGGTAGCAAATGGAGAAATACATAGCCGAAAAGAGAGCGAAATATATGCGCAACGCAATCGCAACGAGTGCTGGTCTTAATAAAATTTTCCTTTTTACATTCTCGTTAATTTGTTTGATATTTCTTTTTGAGCATGTGTTTAACAATCAACTGATTTATGATGCCAACAACAGCTGCAGAAGACTTGTCTTTATTTTAAGTATATTTTTTAAGAACATACAACAAACGTACGAATACATGCATACATGTATACAAAAAAGACATGTCTTTGGATAAAGCAAGTAGAGAAATACTACTAACAAATCCTGAAGCTTCCTAACTATTATGTATGTATAAGCGCTGATACAAAGAGGCGCTGAACATTTAATTTATGAGTTTTTTTTTTGGCATTTTTTGAGCATACACTTTCCTTTCGCGTTCAGTTATACACATAAGGAATTAAATTTATTTTTCGTTATTTACATTGAATACACCAGACAGGATATACAAGTATAATTTAAAATACATAAAACAAAAACAAACTCGAGTGCCACCAATACCAATGCACTCACTACTACGAAAAATCGTAAAAACCACAAGAACAACAACGTTTAATTTCGTTTGTATATGTATATATAAAAGAAAGTTATTTTTTAAATCGACTGCTTTTGAATTTTTATTTGTAATTGCTCTTTTTCTAGAAAACTTGTGAAAAATGGTATGCAAATAAAAATAATTGCTATTAATGCATATACAACACAAAAAGGTGCAGTACTTGTTATTGGCTTGGTAGAGTGGGTAAGATCACGTCCTTCAATAAATAAGCATCTAGAAAATTAAATTTTAAAATTTGATAAAAAAAAACAATTTTTTCACTGTGTACTTTGAGCTTCGTCATCTGGCATCACCGCACAAACAGCTGATAGCCCCTTCTGTGTTGCTAGCTTCATGAAATCACCCCATGCCAAAAAAATCTTGTTTATTCTTATCGCTGGGAGCAGTTTCTGTTGGAGCAAGTTTAGTTGGCGCTTCCTCTTGGCGTTTTGTACTCATTCGCATATTTGCTTTCGTTGGGAATTGTTGTCGCCATTTGTGTTTGTGGTTAGCTTGTGTATCTCTCGATCGTCTCTTAAGGGGAGCTTGTGGCATCTCGGTCAGCAGACGTAGAGACTTGCCCGAGAGTGTTGGTCGCGTGCATTGCCCGGCAAAACAAACAAATTAAATACGCATAGTGTCTAAAGAGTTTTATCAAATGTGTTTCTCAGTGTTAGATTTTAAGTAAAAAAAAAACAAATTTAAATAACTTGAAAAATAAAAGAAGAAAATATGCAGATATTAGATAAACCAAAATTTAGCTACACGCTATTGTTGCTATTCGGCCTATGGTCCTGTTGCTCTTGGACGCAAACGCATGCAGCCACTACAGATACCAACAATGATGCCGCAGTCGAGAAAGAAGGTAAGTAGCTGGGATATTTATATGCGCTATTCTTAATGAATTATTTCATGTTTCATATTAGTGCGCTTATACAGAGCAGCGAATACAAATGAGATCACTTTGCCATTTATATTTACATTCTTGTGCATGTCCACTTTCCCCCCTAATTTAATTGCTTTTGAACTGCGATATATGTGCACTCTCTTTTCCAGAACAATCAGCCGTTGATTGCTACTATGTTGTTGTTGTTGTTGTTGTTGTAGCAGCATACAAATTCCCCAAAGAGTTTTTGGGGAGTGTTGCTGGAGTGACAGTCCTTGGCCAAATATAAATCTGAGTCGTTCCGGTTACGTAGACCCGACTGTCGTGGGAACGGATTGCTACTATCGTACCATTTCATGACCGCAACAAAAACAATGCATCCTGTTTATTATGCACTCTTTAGCGCTTGGATAACTATTATGTACATATCGCTCTTGTGCAATATGAATTGAGCTAATTATTATTATTTGCTTTGGCTTATGTACGTTTTTGTTTATCTTTTCGCTAGTTTACCTATATGCTTTTTGTTTATCTCAACGTCTTCAACGCTTGTCCAATATCGATGAGTCTGTGGTCACATCTGCTTTGTGATCTATTTTTTTTGAAATTTTTTTTTTTGAAAATTTCCTTTTTTTCAACAGCTTTTATATACGTGCAAGTACAACTCATAGATATGACGAAGTTATGCCGTCAGCTTTTTCACGCTATTATTCCAACTTCAGACTACTCCACTTATTTGAGAGTGGGGACCTTGGCGCCAAACCGAGGGGAGGAGGGAGTGGCGTTTGATTTTTTATTGCATACAATTTTCGAATGTGAATTTTCTTCATCGACGGGTGGGGGACTACGAATCTTCTATCGCAACTCTTGAAAACAACAACATAAATAACAGTTATTTACAAATCAAAGTAGATCAAACCGGGGTCCACAAACTAAATTCACGAGCACCATTTGTACCATGGGAAGGGTATTCCTTGAATTTGGCGGAGGGCGTACTACTTCTTCTTACAGAACATGCATGTTGTAGTTGTAAGTAAAGCCATTCTAACGGGCCTACCCGAGAAGGACTGAAAAATTACTTTCTTGCATGTCTTCTAGAAGGGCTTTTCCATTTACAACTTACACGAACGCATAAATTTATATTCCTTACCATCATTAAAAGTGAATTTCAATAAACATTTTAAGTTGTAATAGAACATATTTGATATAAACCTTAAGCAAATACTTTAAAGATGTATGATTTTTATAAATTAAAGAAGCCTTTCGGAAGGCCTTTCGGAAGGGCTTTTAACTCATGAAATTATCTACTGTGTCGTAATGGAGATTTTCACTATAATTTGAAATATCCTGCCGTCCACCATGAAGCTAAATGCTTGGCTGACAAAATGTTGCGATTTGAATTTTTAATCTCCCTGGTTGTTTACTATGACATCCCATTCCAGGCCAATCTCGCGAGTAAAAAAAAAATGCAGAGTACAACCATGGACATCGCTGCAGCCACTGAGTCAATAGGAAATTGCGATGAATTTGGTCAAGATGCTCATCTCGAAAAAGAAGAAAGAAGGAGAAGTTCGATCACGTACGCCCTATTAAACCTGCAGTGATGAAATGGCCATTGGAGGTTCTTGAATTTCGTCAAGAAAATTGTCTTGGATGTACATATCTCCTAATTTTTGGGGTTCTCTCAGGATTTTGTTGACTGTTGTCAGCAGGGAGCGAAGTTTTTCGAAAACGTAGCTTCTTAAAACGTACCTAGAATCTACTATGTCTCAAGAAAGATTAAACGCTTTAGCTATCTTATCTATCGAAAACGAGATTGCTACTCAGAATGACTTGCCCAAAACCTTCGAAAAATTGGCTCAGGCCAAAAACTTCTGTAATTAATATCTGAAAATTTTGCTTATATAAAAATTGGAAATTCTTTTATTTCGACCATTTCTGCAATTGATTATCGTATAAGAAAAAGAGACCGAGGTAACATCATATTATCATGTAATGGCGTTTCGTTCCATTTCGCCGCGGGCGTCATTGCTTCTAAAGCCGGCCCTGATTGTACATACGTGAATGCATCAGTTGTTCTTTCCATATTCTGCGGAAAGCGCTACATAAGCAAATTTTGCCAATTTGAACTCATACGAGTAATGAGTATGAGCACTACAATTTAATTGCTATCAATAAAGCGAATCTTTCGTTAAAATTTTAATACACAGAGAGAAAAGCATTGAAGTAGGGATCTTTGGAAATGTGTATGCTGTTACAACCACAATAACTGAAAGTATTATAAGTACAGAAAACAAAAGAGTACCAGCGACTTGTAAATATGAAGCTAACAGCTTTACTAACAATCCGTTCGATAGAATTCTCTCCTTGAATGAAACATTTCTATTAACTTTAAGCATCACACATCAAAGAACAAAATTATTTGCCTTACTAGCTAATAATTAGCTGAACTTGTAAATTTTGAATACAGCAATTTAATTTTTAATTCCAGTTGATCAACTCAAGTCAACTAAGTCGTTGATAACCAGTTGCGACTATTTTTATTGCCGAATTAATAATAAAGTGCGATAATTTATAGCAAGTTGATGTGTTAAGTTTTTTTAAATACAAAAAATTTCAAATGCACTTACTCATTTAGCCAATGTAGGAGCATCTTAAAAGAATGGTCCTCTGTGCTGTGCAATGCGTTGTAGTCTAATAAACTATTTGCTATACTCAAACATACATACACACATACATGACATGCCTCCATGCATTATTAAGCATTACTAAGAATACAACATACATAACATACTTCATGCACTTTTATTTTTATTTTCAGCGAAACGCATCAAAGTCTTCACTGTAGCTACAGAACGTACAGATGGATATTTGCGTTACTTGCGCTCAGCGAAGCGCATTTATGACATAGAGGTTGGTTATAAAAATTGTTTAATTAGAAATATTAATAAATAGATATTAAATAAAAAAATTAAATTAATTCTTAAAAACCCAAACAATGGGACAAATAAAATAAAACGAAACTGGTAGATATGCGTACTAGGTTCCTCGAACGAAACCTGTTTAAAAAATGCAAAAAACAACAAAATCAAAACAAAACTTGCTCTCATTCATAGCTCGCATTAACTTCAACTAGTTTCTCATAAATATAACTTCCGAAATTTATTGCTACAATACTTTATTTGACAACGAACATCAGTAACCATAGTTAATCTCAGCTCTATTATCTAAGCATCGGCCAATTAAAAAGCGCAAAAAAAACGACTAGATAATAACTCTGGCTGTTAAAAGCAAATTTGTATTAGAAATCGCCAGCTTTAATGGCTATAACGAGTTTCCTTAGCATTAAAAAAAAACGACTATCGCAAAATGCACTGAATTTGTTTTGCAAACAAAAAATGTAATTAAAAATTTAAATGAAGATATTAGCAAATTACCATATCACCAGAAATTGGGGGTGCATTAATTGACTTTAGATACACACCAGAGGGGGTGGGAAGGAAGCACACTACTTAAAGACGCACATACACTTTAGATGGGCGAAGTGTTTTTTTTATGTGATTACGGTGGGAAAATACATATATTTTCAAGCAATTAATTAAGCTTTTTTCATCTGCAAATTGTGTTTGCGTAGCATAGTTGGTATTTCGATTTTTATCACTAAATGCCGGACATGAAAAGAGAAGTGTTTTAGCTATTAAGAAAGTGGAACGGAAAATGTACAAAACTTAATAGAACAATGAGTAGCTAAGATGCATACATAGATTAACTAGAATTTATTTATTCTCGAGATTTACGAGAATAGCTACTTGTTAAAAATTGTTAACCATACTTTTCACTCTCCTTCTGCTAGAAGGTATGCTGCAGTAGTTTGTATTTTCTTGGCAGTAAGCCGCTGTCTGTACCGTATTTATGAAATTCATCTATCCGAAAAGTTTCCGTTCTTACTAAAACGATAACAATTTTCATAATTTTTTATACAGAAAAAATTTTAACTATATAAAAATGTGCGCATATTATCGAGCCCTAACCGCCAAAATAACGTAAGCGACATTTTTTTTCAACATTATCTTTTTGATGCAGAAATGTAATTGAATGCTCTAGAAATATTTATGCATCAAACATTAGCTCAAAAAGTATATTTTATCCAATGGAAGAATAACCAGAATTTTTAAATATAAATTATGTTATCTGGCTAAAAACTATTTTTCTGTTATGTATGTTATTGTTGTAAACTGAATAAAAAATATAACCACATAACCAGATAACCAGCCAAGTGTGATCAACCCAAATGTTTTTTCTTAAGGCGATGATTTTTTTTGCTTTTAGGAATTGAACAGAATAAATTTAACAACTCTCGGTCATTAGAGATTTTTATCTAATTGAAGAATATCGTATTTTTTTGAAAAACAATAGCTTTAGGTTGCCGTTATCTCCCGCGGGGACTTAAAATAAAGAAAAAAAGTTATACTCTGTTGTTTTCATATATTTAACGAACACAAACTTATTAGAAAAAGTAGAAACGATTTTAACTAAAATTTCTTTTTTTTGCTACTTAATTTGAATTAAAACAAGTCCAACAGTGGCAACGATGACATTAAAATTTTAAAGAAGGTTTTAACTGCATTTTGATACATAAAAATACAAAAAAAAATAAATGAATATATATTTTTCTTTTTTAACCGACGAAGTTGGCGTCACAAAAGTGACCTCTCTAAATTTAACCACTAAAATTATTTTTACATACAAAATAAAAATTTCGAGAAACCTATTTTTTCAAGTCGGTATCAGCTAGGTTGTTCGATTGCTCACCTTTTTTCAAAAACTATTGTATTGCATTTATTCTGACTTTTCCGGGTTTTGAGTAGTGCTCTTGCCGCCGTAGCCAAGTGCATGGAGGTGCTTACTGCCACTCAGGAGGTCCATGATCCAATATCTGGGCCCAGCAACATAAAAAAAGTTTTTTTTCCAATAGCGGTCGGCACTCGGCAGATAATAGCAAACCTCCGAGTGTACTCCTGCCAGCCTCAAATAACCTAGGATATAATTATAAAACGATTAGGGGTTTCCCTTAAACTGGAAAAAGCTTTGAAAAGCTCACAAATTTTATTGAGAGGTAAAGATTTGTATGAAAGGAAACAAAAAAAACGGGTTGTTCGATAAAAAAAATCCTGTTTTCGACATCGAGAAATCAATATTTGATATAAACCGCCTATAGATATCCAAAAAACCCAGTGGAAACCGGTTTGGAAACACCGAGTCAATCACGCTAGTATCAGCTCTATGTTCATCTCATCGTAATCATAATTAGGCGTTTACAATTATTTTTACCGATTCGTAAAACTTCAGTGTTGAGAGTTTGAGGATAAGTAGGAAAATGTATACATATGTACACCTCTTAAAGCTTCAACGTAAAACGAAAGACAACATTCTCGAAAAGAATTTTTTAATCATAAAAAAGTTGCGTTCTATTACATGAAAACATTTAAATCTCAGCTGAGAATGTGATCAACTTCGGAATCACAATTTTCTTTTTGTTTAGAAGTTCAGCGGAGAGTTAAAATAGTTGCCATTTTATACATATGTAAGTGACGCATACATTTCTTTAAGGTTTTTGGTGTTTTCTTAGTTAAAAAGTTAAATTTCAAGTACTAATTTTAAGTCAGCAAAATCGCACGTGAGCATTTATAAATTTTAAGTCGATTGCTGGTTAATAAGCATTTCAACCCATCGTTGAATGTATGAAATTAGGAATTAGTTAGCTATTTCCAATTTCATCAGCCAAGATAATAAATATAAATTTTTGTTCTGATTAACCCGAATAATGGTTAATAATGAAGGTTCATCCGATGGAAGAATGTATGACATTTCAAATTATCGATTTAATTTCACCAAGATTTCAAAATTTTCCTTCAGAATTTGAGGAATTTTAGGTATGCAGTTGTATAGCCCATTAAATTTTAGTATAATAAAGTGCAAGTTGCTAAAAAATAGCGTAAATTTTTGTTGAGGGTGCTAGGCATTTTCTTGCCTATAAAAAATTCTCGAGCATACTTTGTATGGAAAGAATGCGTGACATCGTCAACAAAAAAAAAAAAAAACTATAAAAATCAACGGTATTTGGCAGCCACTTGAAACTTGCACTTGTAACGTCCTAAAATTTAAAGGGGCTATAAAGCTGCATACAAACTCTGAAAAAAGTTTGAAATTTTGGTGATTTTTTTTTTAATTTCTATAATTTTAGCACAAAGTTTGAAGTTTTGTTTTAAGTAATGATTTTTGTTAGATAAACATTAAATAGACAAAAGAAAAATGGTCAAAATATATTTTCCTTTGTTTTTATGTGTTAGTTGCGGTTTAAAACTATACCAGATCTCAAGGTAATTTGCACATGCACCCTTGTACGTATGTATGTACATAAGTGCAAAGGCACATCAGCTTCACACACTATTGATTTACATAGTTATCAGTATTTACAGATATCTGCTTGACAGATGTATAAACTGAATACTTGATTTCTTGTAAAAAAATTGCAATTCTTATTTCGCTCCTACATATGTATATATGTACATTTGTATATATCTGTTGTCATAAGCAAAAACCGCCTAAGTCGACTTTAAAGATAATTGAGTTATATATGCTTATCGTATTCTGCAACTAATATTCCATGTGTACGAGAAATCCCCATCTCGCCAGCTGGGTAATTTAAAAAGTTATAGATGAACATATTTTGGTTTCCCAATAATCCAAATGTTTAAAATTGTTTTTCTCGAATTCAGGTTTTTCGACTTAGGCGTTTATTGCTTATGACCACAGATACATATATTCATTACGTGCAAACCAGCACACGATCTACAAAGTGGCGGCACAATACACCGGCTGTGAAAAAACATGTTTCTTTTTGAGACCAGTCTTTTACCGCCACCGCTTGGCCAGCCAATCGACGCAAATACACAAATACTTCAAAAAAAAAAGAACCGTCCAAAATAAACAACATGATATTAAATATTGTCGCTTTGGCACTGAAATTCGCTGAAATTAATAATAGTTTTAACTGTTCGCGTGTGTAACCGCTGCTGGGCGTGACTGGTTGGTTGGCAGGCTGGCTGCTGGCTGCCGGCTGACTTGCACTGCTGTTTGATAGATAGTTCAAATGCTAATCAACAAGTTTTAATGCGTCAACAAACATTTGCATAGATTTTGTTAATTGGCTATCAGCCGAATTGCTTTGTGGCAGNACTGCTGGCTGCTGGCTGCCGGCTGACTTGCACTGCTGTTTGATAGATAGTTCAAATGCTAATCAACAAGTTTTAATGCGTCAACAAATATTTGCATAGATTTTGTTAATTGGCTATCAGCCGAATTGCTTTGTGGCAGAGATTTTCGGTATTCATATTTTTGGAACACGTTTGAGCATTTATGATTTAAATTCTATTCTAATGCAGAAACGTTTTTGGTTTTCTTGTGTGATAATTTTCGATAATTAATCGAACACGCTTTTCATGTGCTTATAATTTATTGCTTGATCGAGATCATGTCGCTCCATACATATGTACATACATACTTAAGTACAAACAAGTAGAAATAGATCATTTGCCGGTTTCATAAAGAAAATCAACGCATTTGTTTGCGGGTATGGAACTATGTAAATATGTAGAACTGGGTCGATTCTTGAAGTAAGTATTTAAGTGTATGAAGTGTATGCAGTGTGAAAATGATAGCATCTACATAATTTCGTACATACATATAGCACATGTACATGTAGGTATATAGTAAGTTTGTATATGCTTCACACTCGTTGCTCATCTGTGTTTTTATATTAAAAATAATGATCCAGCGTAAGCCAACTCAAGCAGCGNAATAATTTCGTACATACATAGTACATGCATATGTATATGTATATAGTAAGTTTG